CCCCTCCCACACCCAAACTATCCTCACGGGGTTGTTGTTGTGGGAAAAATAGAAGGAGGAAGAAGAATTAGGTATGCTCACTGCCTTGAGTCATTTATAAAAATAATAAAGGTGGGATAAAAAAATCTAAAAAGAAAAAATTAAATAGACAACTTTATCTTCAGACAACTGAAGATCCAACACATTTATAGGCAACCAGGAACTCATGTTCCCATCCCTTTCTGGATGGAAGGTTCCAATCACCCCAGCCTCCAAACCCAAGAAAAAGGGAAAAAATGAAGTTTTTGCTGCTTTTCTGAAGGCCAACAGGGTCAGGGCCAGATGTGTCTTGGGGGGAAATAATTCTGGAGGGCAGGCGGTGCAACAGAAAAGGCCCACCTCCTGGGTCCCATCAGACAGCATTTTTTCAGGAAGGGACCCGAAGTGTGCCCATCCTATTAAAGTGTGTGATTAAAGGAAATACAAACAGTAGAGCAAAGTTCCTCATCCTCAGCCACTTTAAGGTATGTGGACTTCAACTCCCAGAATTCCCCAGCCAACATGGAATTCTGGGTGTTGAAGTCCATTCATCTTAAAGTGGCTGAGGATGAGGAACTTTGCTCTACTGTTTGTATTTCCTTTAATCACACACTTTAATAGGATGGGCACACTTCGGGTCCCTTCCTGAAAAAATGCTGTCTGATGGGACCCAGGAGGTGGGCCTTTTCTGTTGCACCGCCTGCCCTCCAGAATTATTTCCCCCCAAGACACATCTGGCCCTGACCCTGTTGGCCTTCAGAAAAGCAGCAAAAACTTCATTTTTTCCCTTTTTCTTGGGTTTGGAGGCTGGGGTGATTGGAACCTTCCATCCAGAAAGGGATGGGAACATGAGTTCCTGGTTGCCTATCATGGATCTTCAATGAAATTGTCTATTTAATATTTTATTTTTTAGATTTTGTTATTTTTATAAACAACTCAAGGCGGCGAACGTACCTAATACTCCTTCCTCCTCCTATTTTCCCCACAACAACAACCCTGTGAGGTGAGTTGGGCTGACTGGCCCAAAGTCACCCACCCGGCTTTTTTGCCTAAGGCGGGACTAGAACTCACCGTCTCCTGCTTTTTTATGTTATTTTAGACTCATTTTTAGATTCAATTTAGACTCATGGAAGATTGTTTTTATATATGGTAACTGCAGTGAGATTATTATATGCACAAAGATGGAAAGACTTTGAAATACCCACAATGGAGGAACGGCTGGTGAAGATGACGGAACTTGCAGAAATGGCAAAATTGACATGTCTGATTAGGGAGAAGATAATAACTGTATTCATTAATGACTGGAAACCCTTTATGGACTTTTTGCTGAAAATGGAAAACAATGAACTTGTGATTTATGGGTTTGATGATTAGAATGGGTAAAATAGGGAAAGAAGGAAGTTACGATGTAATTTTAAAGAGAAAGGATAAAGTAGAAATGCATTTATAACTGCTGTAAAGAAGATTGGAAGCTACTCCTTCATATCTTTTTTCTTTTGTTTTTCTTTTTTTCCTATCTCGTCTTACTTTTTCTTTTTATCTATCCACTATCTTCTTTTTTCTAAGTTTGCATTGCTTTTATTCTGTAAAAATGTCTTATTAAAAATTAATTAGAAACTGTCTGTTTAGTTTTGACTTTTGATCTATTGTATACCACCCAGAGTCGCACTGTCCAAGTTGGGTAGATAGATAGACAGACGGATAAGCAAGCAAGCAAGCTTTGCTCTGCTCTTTGGATGTTGCCTAACTTTTCTTCCAATAACATGGAGAGCAACGCACTTAGCTTGTCTAGGAAGAAGGCTCTCCAATTCCTATTGTACCTGAAGCGTGTCAGATAGTTTGAAGGGATAAAAGGTCTCCTATTAATCCCACGTCTATGGGGAACAGAAGCAGACTCCGTGTTCTTTCGGTGGTCAGTGTCCAAGCCTCAGCACTTGGCAGGGGGTCAGTCCCGCGTCTGAATAATTTCAGAATCATGTTCCTAAAGCTGGAACTTACCGACAGTGCCTGCTGTTGGATGCTGTGTCACTAGATGGGGTCAGTTCATTGGTCTGTGCAGACTTCCTTGTAATTCTGTTGATCAACACCTTGACTTTACCCCAGTGGGAGTGGTCATTCTGGAGGAGGGATATCACATGGTAAGAGAGGATGTAGCCACGAGGAAAAGGAAATGAAGGATGGGACACAATTCTTCCTTTAGTCACAAGGGCACATCTCAGAACAGCCTCCCCCAACTTGGTGATCTTCAGATGGGCTGTGACTTTGAGTCCCAGAATTCCAAGCCTGTTAACTGGGAATTCTGAGACTTGCAGCCACAATCCCACCTTTGTGAGACAAAAATGATATCAAGAAAAGCAGCACCACGCTTAACTGAAAGTCAAGCAGAAACAGAAGGCACTTTGCACAACACAACACAACACAGAAGACTCGTTTTGGACGTTATCTCTCTGCATGCTGCTGTGGAACCAATAGCTACTGTTCTCCAATCCTTGTTTGCAGTTTTCATAAACTGAAGGAGTGGTGGGAACAAAGCTTATCAAAGAATACACGGCCTTCCTATCTGTCTCAAAATGCTTAAACTCTCTGAAGCCTATGCTATTTACATAAGAACATCAATACAAGCTTGCTGGATCAGATCCAAGTTCCCTTGCACAGGTCATTCACAAGCCATAAACTACATTTCGGAGCCTCATTCAGTCCAGAAATAAACAACCTGACACTTGTATCTGTTTCAGGCTACAATTCTCATCATCTCTTCCCACTGATCACGCTAGCTAGAGCAGATGTAAGTTAGTCCAACATATGTGGACAGCACCCGAATTGCACAGCCCTGGCTTTGCCATCCTCCTGGCAGAGAAGCCAAACAGAAGGGGCTGAACAGCACAGATCAATGCACTGATTGTTCACAGTAAGCCAAACTCCTTCCCAGGTCTGGCTTACTATATTATGTGAACCGATATCTACCTTTGTATGGATGGTATCAGCAACATCTCTCTCCAGATTCAGTTCTAACCTACCTTCAGTCTTGGTATTGATGGCAACACCAAATGACACACCCTTAAGCTCACCTTAAGCTTTATCCCTGGTGGCAAAGTATGAGAGTTGCCATCTAGCTGATCCAGTAGGCTGGGCGAGCTGGCAGCGTGAGCTGGTATCTTGCTAGAGCGATCAATCTTGCTCCCTGCAGAAATGAAAGAGCCGGTTAGTGCAACAGAAATCCACTATTTTAGGAACGATAGAAGCCACCTTATTCCCAATTCAAGCTATTTGTCAAGCTAGCCAATTCTAGAGAAAAATCAACAGAGCCCATTTAATGTGGCTTCTACGTGATGCTCAAACCCATCATTCAAATGTTAAATATTTAATAATGGAAGGCCAATAAAATGGATATTTTGGGACTCCCAACTTCCCCACGCTGGCTAGAAATACTGCTGAGAAACCTGTAAGCTGCAAGGGTATTTAGAAAGTGGCAGCTGCAGAAGGATTTAAACTTCAGAGGGAAAAAACATAAATTGCACAATGCATCATAGTCATCTGAAAAAATCAGCTATAACTATGACACCATCCCGTTGGACCATTATAACCTATCTTCTGTATATTGCTATTTTATGAAACAAAGCATTTTTTTAAAGAAACAGAAAGTTCCCCAAAGAGAAGGACAACAACAAGAACCTTGATAATTTTCCACCTGGCTAGAACAGGACAGGAACTTCACCTGTTGTTTCACTTCAGTTCCTATCAGCCTTAGGCAACTGAACTAATGGTTAGGAGCAATGGAGGATATAGCTGAACAGCAGCAAAATTCACCCAATTCTCTGTCTCTGCAATAGGGATGAATATAAAAATTCCACTGCCTGCCTTAGAGACCGAGTTATTTGTGCATTGAACAATTCACATGGGCCCAGGGAACTTTACCTTCAAATGAGGATTCTGAGCCAGTCTGAAACCAGCTCCATAACTTTATTCAGCACTGTTGGAGAGTTGAACGGATTCATTTCCAAATCAGCTGTGGCACTGTTCAAACCACTGTAAAGCTAAAGGCTGTTTTACTATATTGAGGATCCATTTCCTCATTTATGGGAACTCCTGCTTCACCCCTTCCTCCTGGCTCCTGAATCATAGGTCCTCCAAGTGGCCTAACTAGCTTGATGGTTTTGCAGTTCCCCCTCAGAAGCCCAGATACAACAGCAGAAATGACACTGACAAGAAAGTTATCCAACATCAGTAAGCTGGTGGGCAAACTGTCAAATTGTTTCAGGATCCTCCCTCCCAACTTCTTTGGAATGGGTGGAGAGAAGGGGACTATTGTCATTGCAAAACCTGTGTAACTCAGGACAGAGCAATGACAGTTGCTCTTTATTTTTAGTACTTCAAAGGGAGCAGAAGTGAAGGTAATCATGGATCACTTTTTAACAGCTTCTGAGGATTTGGGGAGAAAAAATGACAATGTAATAGTGCCCAGAGACAGTACCAAGAATTGGGGGTTATAGTTAGCACAGACTGACCACTGGCTACTCACCCAGATTACAGGTTTGTTTCCGCAACATGCGTGTGTCTGAAGCAGAGTGGGTCCGGAAGAGGTGAGGGTGCCAGGAGTCCAGCAAACTGGAATGTTCTCCTTCCTCTTTTTCAATCTCCATGGCTGCTGGATCGCCAGGCTGGGGATCCATTTGAGGCAGCTTGGAGTCCTCTGGAACGTCTTCAGAAAAACCCTCCTGCCAGACCAAACAGGACTTGAGTTGGAGAACAACCAAACTGGAAATACCACTCAGGGTTTAACTGTTGTAGGGGGACTGGATAAGCAGGTGAAACATTTAGCTCCAAATCTGGATTTCATTCAAACGTCTCCACAACCAACAACAGAATTGCAAAGGGTATGGCATAATGGAGCACAAGCATCAGAACAGGATTCAAATCTATTCTTGGCCCTGAAACTCACTGGTTGATCGTGAGCAAAGCGCTCTCTCTCTCACCTTAACCTACCTAATGCAAAGGGCCAACAACAGACAGAGGACAGCTAGGACAGAAAGGGTGCTGCTTACAAGCCTCTCTCCATTTCCCCACCTGTCTCTCCAACACAGACCAACTTGTATACAGACAATTCATTCGCTGTAGCTCTTTCTTACATTCTCCAGTTCCTGCGCCCGGATCCGGCACTCCAGTACTTGACGCTGATGGTGGAGCTGCATGTTGGCTCTCTGCAGCTGGGCGATTTTCTCCAGCATTTGGCAGATGTGCTCCAGGTAGCGCAGACCTTGTCCCGGCATGGGAAGGGAGGTTGGCTGCTGTGCCTAGAGAATGAACATCACATAGAATCACACAGAGTTGGAAGGGACCACAACTAACATTTAGTCTGAACCTCTGCAATGCGCAGGAGAACCAGTTAAACCAGTGTTGTCCAAACTTGGCCACTTTAAGATGAGAGGACTTCAACTCCCAGAATTCCCCAGCCAGCATGTCCACTCATCTTAAAGTGGCCAAGTTTGGACAACACTGAGTTAAACCATCCAACATCTTCAACACCTCCAGAGATGGAAAACCCACAACCTTAGTTGGAAGACTATTCCCCTGTTAGAAAACCCACAGCTTAGTTGGTAGACTCTTCCCCTGTTGGATAGATCCTACCATTAGAAATATTTCCTTATATTTAAACCAAGTCTAGGTAGCTGCAACTTATACCAGTTATTACTATTATACCTGTCATTATTTCTGGTCCTGTGGAGATGGAGAATAGTTCTCGTCCACCTTTTCTGGAGTTTCCCTTTCTGTACTTGAACATGGCTATTAGATCTCTCCTAAGTCTTCTTCTCTCCAGACTGAACATCCCAAGTTCCTTCAGCCTTTCACAGGGCATCAGGAATACGTGCTAACATTACACACACACACACACACACACACACACACACACAGTGAACAAGAAGCCTGGATGGGCATCTACTGAACATCTAATGAACTTAGCTGGAGTCACACACTGCACTTGACATGGCTTGCTGATCAAGCCATTAATGGCCTGTTTTGCACAATGCTAACCAACATGGCCACATAGAAGTGGAGGATAAGCTCTTAACAAAGTAACCAAACAAAAGAGATTCCCATGGGAAAAAAAAACAAGGCTTGAAATATTTTGGCCCAAAGCTGTTTAGGGCACTGGAGTTTATCAGCAGTGTTTGCCCAACCAATTGAAACCCAATGCTTTACACGTATATTATAAGACACTTGCTGTAGAATCAAGAACCTTCGCTTTCTAGATTTAACCATCAGAAGCAAATATGGTAACCTTTGCTATACACTTGTGGAGTTTCATCAGCAAGCATATCGCTGAAGGGCCAGCATTACGCAAGAAATCTGAAGTTCTATTTCCTTGCTACATGTTTTGCTCATCGCGAATTAGTCATATTTTTATCCTGCCACACCCCCATCAATCCAAAATGCAACAAGAGAGAGGAGGAAACTCAGTGATACACGCGGATGAAATAAAATGACGTAATCCAACAGCTATGCAGAACAGGAACACACATTCCAACACAGCGCTTGCATTTCTCTAAATGTAATTTTGGACCAGACTAGTGTTTAACTCCCCACGCTTAATATTACCTTGTGTGCTTCCTTATCTCTCCAGCACTTTCCCCACTGCCAAATATTAGGTAACTCCTGGATCACTGAGCTGTGTAGTGCTACTCGCAAACACTTTGCTTTGGGCAGGAGCTATTGACTACCAGCGAATTCCTGTTCCAGGTAGCTGAGAATAACCAAGGCAGAGTAGCAGATTTTGAGGGCTGCAGGCAAAGATGAGCATCTTTACCTCAGATGACACTTAAGAACCGTGTTTCTCAACCTCAGCAACTTTAAGATATGTGGACTTCAACTCCCAGAATTCCCCACCCAGCGCTGGCTGGGGAATTCTGGGAGTTGAAGTCCACATATCTTAAAGTTGCTGAGGTTGAGAAACACTGCCTTAGAAAGAAGACTCCCACAAAGGCACAGCTTACTCCAAACTTTCTGTCCTCCAGCTGTTTTGGACTTGAGTTTCCAGAACTTTTAGCCAGCCTAGTCAACCACTGGCTGAGCTTTTGGCGAGAAGAAGGCCAAACATTCCAGAAGACATTTCAGGGCTCTTCACTATATTCATGCCTTCCAAATATGAGAGCAAATATCAGATCTTCATGACTGCAAAGGGCTGGTGCTGAACTACAACACCCTGTATATAGGACACCTCTCCCCATATATGTCCTGAGCTCAGGTACAGGGAACTTGCTTCAAGTGTCCTTGATACAGAAATTCACAGGCTGCTGCAGGCAGAGGTCCTCCAGGTTAGTGATATTCCCTTTCTCAAATTGCTAGTTATCCTTTGAAGAGGTTGCGTGCTCCCTTGATGCTTCTGAGTGCCCAGAACACAAATAAACTAAAATTAAAATACAAAACACCACCCTCTATTATATTCCATCCAGGCATTTCAAGTCACCCTTTTTTAAGCGCTCCATTAAATTTCGAGCGTCCTGCCTTAAACTCTGAATCTGTGCTTTGCAGTCTTCTATTTCCGTGACCGTTTTAGATCTCTTACATTTGCCACTGTTGTTGTTGTTACAATTGTTTTCTGGAAAATTTACAGCTGGGTTTCCCCTGCTACAAACACTGTGATTGATTTTTTTTTTTTTAGGCCTTACTCTCTTGTTTTCATGGCTGTTCTTATTTCAATGGCAAAAGCAAACAGCCTTAATCTTGCAAACGTATCGCTGCAGATGGGCGTTCCTGGTTTTCAAGGAACAGACCTCCCGGCCAAAAAAAGAAAAAAAGGTAAACAGAAATATCCCCCACAAACCAAGTGGTTCCTTGTAACACTCCATCCTCTTCTACCTCGCAAGAACCTTGCTAAGGCGGCTAAGAGGTCCACCTTCATCCCCTGCGTTTCAGGGCTGAATTCAAATGACTATCTCCCCGTGACTGAGAGACCTCCATTTAGGAGCACCCAAGACAGAGACCCCATATCTAAACTGCCAAAATCCAGATGGCCCCTAGGCAGCAGTTAAAAAAAAGGATATAGAAATGAATTCCTTGCTGCCTCTTACAACCCTTCCACATTTCTGCAGCCCATAGTCTATGGCAGGCCTGGAGATTCTTGAAGAAGTCAAACCCTGATCCAGGGACTTGGCAATTCATTCACAACCTTAGGCAGCGATGTTACGCATGTTTCTTCTGGAAAGAAACTTACGCGAATTTAATTTGGCTTAGATTGCAATTAGAAATTATGGGCGTGGCCTTCTAGCTGGTATACTGCAGCGATAACGATCTAACGAGGTTTTCATGAGCTTTCCAAGGATGCAGTGCTAGAACCTGCAATCAGGGGTTTAAAAAGTTAATGTTAAAAAAGAAAGGGAGGCCCACGCAAAGCAGAACGAGGTTTGTCTGGGCTAAGTATGATGTCTGGCTCCATCACCGATGATAAACTATGGTTTATAAATCAATGTCATGGATAAAGCAGGCCATCGTGTTTGCTTAGCACACTGTGACAAAAGCAAATCATAATTTACCTTCCGTGTTGTCTCTGGGGACTTTCGGCCCCAGTTCTGAATGCCAGTGACTAGGCACGTTAATAGCTACCTGGCTACGCAGAGCACAGGTGAGTCAAGTCCTGGGCTCCAGAGGAAGGCCAGCTCCTCCCAGTGACAAACTAGGTCAGCAGAGAGAAAGACTTTCTTCCTTGAGGGATTATGAAAGGCAAAGACATGGGACATGCCAGCAAGAGGCAATTATGCAAGGCAGTGTCACAGGGTGGAATGAAGAGCATTTCCCATACGAAACTAACCCGCCTAGCTGGTGGGAGGAGAGATTAAGCCACAGCAGGAGGACATTGCTAACTTCCCCATCACCCTGATCATGCTCCTCACCAGGAACGCACCTGCAAAGCCCCTTCATTTTTAGCCCCTCCGCAAGCAGCCGCCCTGCTCCGCCAGGGCAATTTCAAAGGACTCCCCAGGTCCCCTTGTGCCAGCTGGCCAAACAACAGCTGGATCTTTCTGACACTCACCTCTTCTTCTATTTTCTGCTCCTCAGGGGTGCTGCAGCCCGAGACGGCTCTATGTCCTCCAGAAGCAGCATCCGGACCCCCGTCCACACTCGCTGGCCGGTGTGGGTAGCAGGACTTCAACCCCTCCAAATCTACCAAGCTCCGAGGTCTCTGGGTCAGCTGCCTGGGTGAACGGACAGGCAAGCGGTGCTTCTGGGAGCGCTGGACCACCTGGGCAAGCTTCTTGCTGACGGAGAGATTCCGTCGGTAGGCACGATCTTGAGCGGGCACCGGTTCCTCTGGCCTGTGTTCTTTTGGGCAATCCTCCCGAGGGGCTGGACAAGGATCATCTTCTACTGTCAGCTGGAGGCCATCTAGGCAGTCCAAAGAAAAGCTCTTTTCGGATCCTATCGGGGTCGAAGGGGAGTGATCGTTGCTGGCCATCTCCACGCCAGAGTCTTCCGATTCGGATTTCAGGAGCCGTCCGCTCATGGGCAAGAAGCCCAGCTGGTGGGGAGCAGCTTCAGTTGGGGATCCGGCCTCCGCCCACCTATCAGCCCCTTTGCTCATTTTGTCTTCAGGATCCAGGCTTAGCGGAGCCTGGGGTTGAGGGGCCTGCAGCTTCCGGTACATGCTGACTGAGGTTAACACCACACAGCTCTCTGCTGGTCTCCAGGCACTACCTGCAATTGAGAAAGGAGTCTACTGAACAGAAGCCACTCCCATTCCACCAAGAATGAACTGAAACTATGTAAATAGAGTGACTGGCCAGGTAAGAGCTCCGTCCCCGCCCTGCCCCATGCTAATGCTCCCCAAGAGCTCCGGATCAGCCGCTGAAGAAATCTGCTTGCAACATTTGGATTCCAAGAATACTCCTCACAGGTGCATGACTCATGCAGCAGCCCGGTCTGGCCACAAGGAGAAGGCAGCATTCTCTGTGCTTGTTCAGAAAGATAATTGCACCAGATCCCTAGAAGGCAAGGGAGGCCACCATTGGCCCTTCTCTTTCCACACTATCATTGCTTTCAAACAGGGATGAAGAAAAAAATGCAGAGAAAATGGAGAAAAATCTCTTTTCCTTTCTTTCTGACTTTTCAGGCATTTCCCTAAGGAAACCGTAGCATGGCAGCGCGGCTTATTAAATATTGTGTGAGCTCTGCCGAGGGTGGTTTATTAAATAAGCCAATTGATGAAACCATCATTTAAGTACAACGTGCATCTCAAATCTTTCTTCTGCTCCTTTCTTTCCTCTCTTCTCCTACTCTGCTGAATGGGTTACTAGGGAGGAACAGGATTCTTCATCCAAGCTATGAATAGACTGCCTACAGGCTGTTTTCTAAATTGCGAATAGGAATTAAGGGTTGTAGGACATTGAGCCCTTTGTTTAAAAGATAGATATGATGGTTATAAGAGGGGTCTTGTGCAAACTTTCCAGTTATAACAATTTCAGTGAAGTAGTGAGGTTTCTTCCATAGATACACTCTCAATTCAAGGCAACCCTCCCCTCCAAAATATTTCAGTCTACTCTTTTTAACCTCCTTGGAAATCCAGTATTGCTGCAGACATTATCATTCAAAACATTTTCAAGTAGTTCAACTGCAGTGTTGGGGTCCAAAGGAGGCCTTGAAACACCCAGTTAGAAATACCCTACAATCTTTTACAGCACAGGGTTTCTCAACCTTGACAACTTTTAAGATGTGTGGACTTCAATTCTCAGAATTCTCTAGCCAGCATGAGCCGGTCCACAGATCGTAAAGTTGCCAAGGTTGAGAAACACTGTTTTAGAGAGCCCAAAGCCACCTACTGTACACATATTATACAAGAACATATTATACAAGGACAGGTTCCCCAGCATACATGACAGAGGGCAGGTTGAGAGAGAAACTGGATTTTCCATTCTCCAAGTGGAAAGAGGAGTGGAAGAACTTCATAAGAAATATTTTCTCTTTCCAACTACTCAGTAAAATAAACCATATCTGGCAGTTCTCTGAATGTGGAAGCTTCAAAATCACATGCAGCAAATGCTGAGGGAAGCCAAACTGGGGGGAGCCGCTGGTATTGCCCCCTGCCTAACGACTGCAAGGGGGTAGAGCATGATGTCATGACACCAGCACTGGCAGAAGTTTTTGTCTTTATTCTCAAATTGGGGGTACATGGCAGGTTTTAAGAGTTGCAGAAGCTTAAGACACTCCTTTTCTCCTTAAACCTCCTCCAAATAATTCACAAACAGTTCAAACCACCCCCACTCCCCAGAGGAGCTCTGGGGACACTAATGAAACATCATGGGCCATAGTTTCACTCCCCCCTCCCCAGCAAAGCATTCCTATGAATACCTGCAGGAATATATCAGTACTTCCCAAATTGGTACCCCTCCCAATGTGTTGAGTCTGTAACTCCCAGAATTGCAAGCCAAGATGGACAAAGGTTGGGAGATGAAATCTCAGTATTTTGGGGGAATGCCTAGTTGTCAAAGTGGGCAACAGTATGACCCCTCACCTAACTCACCCATGAACTGGAGGAAGCATAAGAAGGTTCTGAGTCAAACAGTGTCCAGACCTTCCCCTCTTACACAGTGACTTTCATCAAACTGGATTCCATTTGCCCATTCCAGCTACAAGCAAGGATATAGAGTTTGATTCTGCAATACCAATCAGAACTATAGAATTGCTTTCTAGTTATGATGCCAACTGATCAACTGTCCTAGACTAGGTCAGTGATTATCCAGGCTCTTTCAAATTTTCTGAATGTCCCAGCGCTACTCCCTCAAGATTTACAGAAAAGAAGTGGTGGATACTTAATCTGTGAGATTTGGAGCACAAGGAACAATGATTGCAAAGGGGATGCAAGTAAATGTGAATGATGAAATCATTCAAAAGCAGGGCAGTAGAAGAAGGCTGACATTCAGCAAGTTAAGAAATAGACTGATTCAAGGAAATGTTTAGCGGAAGAATTTATTTTCCAGGAGATCATATTCCTTCCACACATAAATTCACTCCTGGATTCCTAGCATCATTCACCTCTTGTAGGTTTCTTAATTTTAAATTAAAGGCGGGGAAATAACTACGGTAGCTTTTTAAAAAGATCCTTGAATAACTAGAGCCATCCTCTAAACCAGTGTTCCTCAACCTTGACAACTTTAAGATGTGTGGACTTCAACTCCCAGAATTCTCCAGCCAGGATGCTGGCTGGAGAATTCTGGAAGTTGAAGTCCACACATCAAGTTGTCAAGGTTGAGAAGCACTGCTCTAAACTATGCTTGATGACCCAAGGATCCACCTTCTACCTATCCTGCTTTAGAATTATTTCAATCCTTTTCTACTCAGCTCTATTTTGGACACTTTTTTGTCTGCTTCTTTTGTTTCTGAATGCTTTCTTTCTGGAAATCCAGATCTGGGGAGTCATTTATGTCTATGATGGAAGACATGAATCACAAAATCCCATCAGAGTAGAGCACAGTCTGTTCTACAAATCTTATCTAAATGATCCTCAAAACAACTTGGACATTTCCCAGGCGTGACAGATACAATGTAAATGGGACCTCATAGAAAGGTGACAAAGCTTCTCTACTCTAGAAACATCTTTAGCCTGGATCAAAAATACGTGTCCTAATTGATTCTGACTGGAAAAGCAGGCAGAAGAGTCACACGCACCCCCCAAAAAATCTTTTCATCAGGACTTCAGAATTCTTCACAAAATTCATATTCTGCAACTGGATTCAGTTATATAAAATTGAAGATCATGAGTTAAAAAATGTGTATCACCCTTATCAGAATATAGAGGGAAAGGGAGTTGGGCACACTGAACTTACAGTTAGTTTATATTGTCTACCCACCAAAGTAGCCTTGTATTTTGTGGACCCAAAATACAATGAAACTGAGAAATCGGTGGTATGTATGAATGTATGTATGTATGTATGTATGTATGTGTGTATGTATGTATGTATGCATGAATGAAAAAAAGATGTTGAAGATCCTTTGAAAATGATTGCAACAGAGGAGAGTTGAACTTTGGGTGAAGCTTTTAGTGACAAGCTTACAGGGTTGCACCAGCTATTAGGACTTCAAAGATCATCTATTCCAAAACCTATAAAAGGATTTCCTCTATTACAGAATGATCTACATACAATTATTTTTTTAAAAAGAGAGAACCCACCCCTACTTCAAGTCAGCCTGATCTATCCATCAGAAATTTCCGAAATCCTTCTTTTTGTTATTTCAGTCCAATGCTACTTTCTAGAAAACAATCCACTCCCCCAACTATGCAACAGCTCTTCAAATATTTGAAGATCTCAACAGCTGTGTAACATCTCAGCAATGAACACTCCTGTATTGCATCACTTCTGATCTGTTTCTCTGAAAAAAAATAAGGCATCGAGCATTCCTTCCCACCTCAACGGACAAGTACACCAAGAGCAATTGAGCGTGTAGAGGTTACACTCTTGCCTGCCCAAACACTCCCATGCCTACAGAGAGAATGAATGCACAGTGCTCAACCCACACATCATTCCAAACTATCATTTTGAGGGAGGGAAACAAGACATTTACTTGTGCTCCATCTTGGCCTTTTAAAGAGCTGCATTCCTTCATTTAAATGAAAGGTTATTTCTTTCTCTGTTTGACCATCTCGGCTTCTTGAGATAATAAGGTCCTTGCAGCGGGATCCCCACTCTTAGCCTAATGCCCTCCAGATGTGTGGACTTCAATCCCAGCATCTCTTCTCCCCCCAGAGGCACGGCGGGCTCCTACCCTCCTGGCTTTCCAGAAAGGATTGAAGACCTGGCTCTGCCAGCTTGCATGGGGCAATCAGATCAGATCAGATCAGATCAGATCCTGGGGGTGGCTGGTGACTGATGACACTCCCTGAGTTATTCATCAATTCCCATCATCTCTTGTAATTTATTATTTAAGATTGTTTTTATATTGTATTTTAATTGATTTTATCTCCTCTGTAAATCACCCAGAGTCACTTTTTAATGAGATGGCCGGTGATAAATTTGATATATAAATAAAAAAATAAATAAACAAGGTTGGCCTAAGCCGTCCTATTCAACCTCATGGCAAGCAGCATTGCACGATCTGGAAGGGCTTTCAAAAACCTACCTATTTCAAATTACTTTTAAGTTAGGGCCATTTTATTGAAGGCTTCTTACTGTTGTTATAGAAATGCTATTTATATCAACCGAATATGGCTTGATTTTACAAACAAAAATCAGACAGATTTTGATTGCTCATCAATGAGCCCCCCGCCACTTGTAACATTTTTTATCCTGTTTTGTTTTTACCTCTTTTTATTTTTTAATGTGCTTCTATCTGTAACTCTGGCCTGTGACTAATAAAAATTCTATTCTTCTATCAACTACATTTTATTTTAAAAGGTGTTCTTTTGTTTTAAAGCCCAACGTTTTATTTTCGTTCATTTTTACGTTTGGGTTATGTTCAACATCTTGGGGAGAGTTTTCCCAGAAAAGCAGTTTAAAACCCTTTAAAATACATCAGTAAATAACATAAAAAGCTACTGGCAGCCAGCCATTATTTCACCATCTCCTTTTGGCATCCAGTCGAGTCTATCTAGCCCTCCTATCAACTTCACCAGCTGGGCAGTTCCACTGAAGTTTAGAAAACTGCACTGTTCACAGAGCTTCAGTCGTCGCATAGCTATTTATGGCAGGAAAACATCTGCCATCACTTCACAATTTGGAACAT